TGGGCAAACATAATGTAGGCCTTGACTTACGTGTATAATCCTTGACTTGTACAGTTCCTCCCAAATTTTTTGGACCGAAATCACCGCGATGCGGTGAAAAAAAACCTCTCAGAATTCTTTTTAAGATTTCACGGTGAAATTTCGCTTGATTCCGCGGCGATTTTTCTCTAAGATTCGCTAGGAATTCACCGTGTTTCTCTAGGAATTCGCCGTGTTTCTCTAGGAATTCACCGTGTTTCGATAAGAATACATCATGTTTTGCCTTGCTTCCCGCAAGGAATTCGAGAGCCTACCTTAAGCTAGGGTCGAACTAATATTGTCTATAATAAATTAAAGGAGTTGTAATATAGTAATGCTCCCGGGAAACGTGTACATGTATAATGTACAGGCAGGTTTGAATAACAAATGAGTTAGGTAATCTCGGGAAGACATTTACCGGCATTCTGTATCGGTTAGGATTTTTCCCCCAACGCACTTTATACATACATAACGCCGGCCAAAATGTATGCAAACTATGAACAACTTACAATTTTTTAAACATATCAATTCATCTTCGTTTATAACTTAGATGTAATCCGTCAATTTGGGGCTGCTCTCAAATCCAAACTTTAAATTATATACGATGAGCTTTTACACATTACTTCATTACTCGCAGCTTCGGTTAATCTAAATCAATCATCCATACAGCACGTACAGTAAATTACTCCGCGGGTCGCTTAACGGTATGTTACATGGTCAGAAACGTGCCAAAAGATTGGGACTACATGTATATTCTTACTCTGTTTTACTCAGCGAATAATATCCGCTGTGACAATATACATCTACTTTATGTCACCCAATTCATTTCGGTGGGAGCAGATATTGAATAAAGCCATTTCACACACACATACGTGTACATTACATACGCCTCATATATTTAAACAATTTCCACGAGTGTGTTAATTCTCGTCTTCACCCCGTTATAATTTACTTATTTTGAGTACACTTTCTGAATGATTCCATTCTTTTGTACGTCCAACTTGTCGATTTCCTACTGCATATACATGTACCCTGCAGTCCATGCGAAATGATATTTTTTTTACTGGACATTTGGGCAGGTATTATTCCAACTATTGCTGGACCGAATGAGATGTTACTGGTCCAAAAAAGTTCATACCAAAAATATGCATAAAATAAGTAATAATGGCCTAAAACTCGAAAAACAACACACAGTATTTTCATTCTATTGTTACTTAATATTATCTATGATACACGTAAATCATTATTATTTTCTATCAACAATGGCTTGGACTTATAATTAAATTTTTATCGCGCCAATATTTACTGTTCTATAAATAGACCGCGTAAAGAAAATATAATCCCTTAGATGACAATCGAGTCTACCAGAAGCCAATGTTATTAAAACAATAAAAGGACTTTCGTTTTAGTCTGGATTAACCTAGCCTACTACTTACTAGACTAGCTCGATATACGGTACTACGTACTCGAGATAAGATTTTGTTTACATTTTAAACAATAGTGAAATTAACACAATAAATTAAACGAGAATTCAACAGTCCGTGCACGAAGTGCTGTCAGTCAGTGCCAATACGGCGATGATTTAATATTTGTAAGTTGAGTGTCCGTTAACCCGTCCACAAGCAAACCCGTCCACGGTTAAGGTAATACCGGTACTTGACTTGTATATTATTTAATTGATTAGAATAGATCACTTTTACTCATCGGTTGTTTATTGTTTTATTTACCTAATAATCAACTAGCTTGGCTCGCCATCCCGACAGCGATTAGTTCAAGTTCAAATTCTTTATTCCTTTAAGCCAAAGACTCATCAGGTATAACATATAGTACAAACAAATAAATAAATACAATATGTACAAAAACAATATAGTTGACCGATGTTTTTGTAATAAAGAACAATAGTATTGTTTGTTGATTAGCGTTATGATTTTAGACAAAATGGTAAGTTCACCAATGTTTTTGTAATAAAGTAGACCCGTATTGTTTGTTAATTGACTTTATCCCATGATTTAAAAAATTGGCGATGGTTAATATTGGCTCAAAAATAATTCCTTAAATTGCGCCGGTGCCCCTTTTAGATTAATTGAATTCGCATAAAAACAAGGCTATGTGCGATTTTATTCTTTGATCTTGATACATGGGACATTTCTGTTATTCAAACAAATCTGCACGAGAATGACAACATACAAGTTGAATGTTACCATTGGTTTGGGGTTCATGAAGAATAGGCTCTTCTATCGAGCCTACAGTTATTCTTTTCAAAAATAAAATGAGTGCCTTGGATTTTTGTGTGGATTTGATAGCGGTTATACTTTACTAATATTCTCTGACATCGGAGACTTGTGTCGCGTTCATTTCATTTTGCGGTAAGTACGAGCTTCTTATGTCTGATTTGAAAGCGCTTTCGACTTCCGTTGCAAGTTCTATTTGTCACTTTTGTGACTTTCGCAGTGTACCCCCTCCCACCCATATTATTTTAATACGTCATAATACATTATTATCATATACCGGTGACAGTCAAGATTTGCTAAATACTTTTCGCCAAGTAACACAGCGTAAGAATATATAGTCCCCGTGTCGAACCCAACATCTCATGTTTTTGCGCGTTTCTGACCACGTGACGTACGGTTAACCGCATTGCGAAGTGATTTACATGTATGGCACTGTGATTTATGAATGGTTGATTTAGATTAACTGAAGCTGCGAGTAATGAAGTTATGTGTAAAATCTCATCGAATATAATTTAAAGTTTGGATTTGATAGCAGCCAATAAGATGAAATGATACGTTTAAAAAATTGTAAGTTATTCATTGTTTGCATACACGTACATTGTGGCACCACCTTATACATGTACAGTGTGTTAGAAATACGACCGTAGCTGCCTCGCCAACGGTTAACATATCTTGTATTCAACTTAAATAAATTACATTTTTCGTCAACATGCTTACATCGGGATGATATCGGCACTCAAGCGATTCACCGCGAAACACCATAATTCACCGCGAAAGACCCTATTTCGCGGTGATTTGGCTAGCTGCCGTTTCGCTAGCGATTCTCCAAGATTCCACCGTGAAATAGAGTGTTTTTCCGCGGTGTTCGGCGATTATAGTCCCAGACTCCAGCACTGTAGTGTACGTTCAGGTACAGGCCTAGTTACTCCTTGTCGAAAGTTCTTCAGCCCCAAACTTTTTACTGCTAAAAGGTCGCGTGTCAGTCGATGTTAGCACCTTTATTTATACAATATTGTCGTGAGAAAAAAGACCTTGCGACACAACATGCTGTTAAAACTACATCCCCTCCATCCCTCCTGCTAAATAGCTTTGCGGGATCCATTGAAATCTTAATAGGGTAACAAACAAATAAGGCGTGTCATTTAAGGCCCATGCCCCCCCCCCCCCTGTAAGCGGAATTGACAGACAGGCCTTGATAGTGTCCCATTTCTTATCCTCTCGTTCAAGAGAATTTGCTCCCATTTGCCATGACCTCCAACCCCAAACCCCCTAACATAACATGTCATAATATAACATGAACTTTTTGTCAACATGAATAAAACTGCTTTGCGGCAAGATAACAATAAGCGATCAACCAAATAGGCAATACTATCCATGTTCTACCAGGATGTACAGTGTTATAGCCAGTAATTTGTTAACATTCATTGTGGGATTATAGATGGCTCCCTAGATTTGGAACTGCCCCATCCCCTATTCTCAGTTTGTAGATCCGATACTGGCACAAATTTAAAAACCTTTACCACACGAAGACAAAACAAAATTTAGGTAAGCAGGGCAACAAATTTTAACTTTTGGGCTAGGCAAAGCAATAAATGACTGAAGATTCCAATTTTTTTAGTCAGTGTGTAATCCATGTCGTAGTTTCAGAGCTTCTCATTTAGTTGTTCTCCTTGATCTAGCAACAATTGAAACTCTATTTGTTTATATTTTTAGCATGAGCCAGGATAAATTGACAGCTTTAATTAAACACTATAAAGAACATGGAATGGTACCGTGTTATAAAAAGTCAGGAGGACGGCAGAAGAAAAACAAGAGAATAATAACCTATGATGATACATCTCGAGTTGTTACATTTATTTCCAACTTTGCAGAAATACACTCTGTGGCTCTTCCTGGTAGAGTGCCAGGTTACAAGCGATTTAACATCAAGCTGTTGCAATCTAACATGACAAAGGCCAGTATTTGGAGGGACTACAAACAAGCCATGGTTACTACAGGTAAACTGGATCAGATTAACTTTTAATTTCTATTTTAGACTACACGTACATCAAGCAAAACTAACATTACAACACACTAGCTGTGTCTACTTGGGTGTAACATGGTATAGTACATTATACGGCACGCTCTAGCTTTTAGTGATAGCCACAGTGGCTAAGTGAGCCAAGCGCTGGCTTGCTATCCCGGAGGTCGGCGGGTTCGCCCGGGTGTTGGCCGAGAAAGTTCATCATTTTTTCCGGTGTGGTTTCCCCTTGTCAGTGGTGTAGGATGGATGGAGGGCCTGAAAAGGAGAGCTGTCTAGTCATTTGGATGGAACGAACAAAACCAAGGTCCCGTGTACACATTAGTGTATTAATTCCCATGCATAAATTTATAAATTTCTATTTCTGTCTTTCAGGGAATCGAGCTGTTAGTTTGCATTCATTTCGACGTTTGTGGAGGACATTAGTACCATTCATAGTTATTACTCACCCAATGACAGACTTATGTTGGGTATGCCAACAAAATAATGCAGCAATATATCGGAGTGTAAATATACCAGAGGAGATGAAGAGTGAACAATTAAAAAGGCAGGAGAAACATTTAGTTTCAGTTACACTGGAACGTAGTCTTTATCAAAAAAATGGTAGCAAACTGTAAGACAGTGGTTGAGGGCCTTGGCCTAAAACATAATTTAATGAAAAATGCACCTGCTTCACGGGATATAACAGCACACTATAGTTTTGACTTTGCGCAACAGATCCATTACCCGAATGATCCCTACCAACCGGGACCGATGTATTTCCTCACTCCAAGGAAGTGTGGCCTCTTTGGAATTGTGTTTCAAAGGGATCAAACAGCGTCATAAGCTATTTAGACCATTTTTTCGATAATTACGGGTTAGGAGAAATGGACGTAGAGCTGCATTGTGATAATTGCAGCGGCCAGAATAAAAATAATTACTTTCTCTGGTATCTAGCCTGGCGTGTGATGAATAATCTACATCGGTCAATCACAATGAATTTTCTGATAACTGGCCACACCAAATTTGCACCAGACTGGTGTTTTGGACTTATAAAGCAAAAATACCGCTTAACAATGGTATCCTGCTTGGATGATATTGCAAATGTTGTTAGAAATAGTACCACAGTGGGAATTAACATTGCCCAAAAAGTAGGAAATGAAGATGGATCTGTAGTTGTAAACATCTATGATTGGCAAGCATTCTTCAATCCTTTCTTCAGGAAAATGCCTGGCATCAAGAAATATCATCATTTCAGGTAGGCCTACATGTATGTTATTTAAAATTCTGGTTGGCTCGCTAACCTGAGGTCCGATGCAGAGAAAGTTCATCGGGAATTTTAGTGTGGTTCCTGCCAGTCACAGTCAGTGGTGAAAGGTAGAGAGCCTGGCAAGGAACAATATATCAATGTATAGTTGTGCTGTCGGGAAGAAAAACTGGGGTCCTGTGTATATTTTGGCATACACAGAAAAGACTTTGACAGAATTTGTTATAAGAGTAAGCCGTAGTGCCGCTGTCCAGGCAAAATGTCCCTCATAGTACACTGTATGGCTTATGCCTATCTAAGCACAGACGGTGAGTGTGGGGGGGGAATGGCCGCATGGTTAGTGCGGGTCAACTGGCATGGTTTCGATTCCCCAGTTGTACGTGACAAGGAGTAGGGTCGTCTGTCCAACATCTTGGTTTTTCTCCGGGTCCTCCGGTTTCCTCCCACTGCTAAAGACCCCCGGCGATGCAGAAAAGAAAATTCCCTGGTTAGCCAGTTTTATGCTGTACATGTACCTTTTAATTTTTACACTTTTACAGTAGAGGACAATTTTTGATTTACATAGACTATTATTTAAAAGATTCAATTTTCTTTATAATTTTAGATTTGACAGCAACCATCCAGGCATGGTTTTCAGAAAGTTGTACGCCGACTCTGAAGAAGAAATTTTTAATCTAATCATTGATTCCTCTGTGGTTCCACATAACGAGAAACCGGATATAATTCCTCCACCGGGACTGTCAGCAGAAAGACAGCTGTACCTATATCAAAAGATTCGTGAATTCTGCCGTGTTGAAACTCGGGATATATCTTGCCCACTACCACAGGCTTTACCACCACCACAAGATCTACCAGAATCTATGACCGCTCCTAATAATAGTGACTTACCTGATCATAGCACTCCAGATTCAGACAGTGATGCGGAATTCGCTCCTCCGCTGGCCAAGCGTGGTCGGGGACGCTTTCATGTCCGGGTCCGTGGGCGTGGCCATTAATAGTCACACATCGCAAATGTAAAGGGTGGATTAGGGAGATTACCTTCAGTATTTTTCTGTATAGTCATGTGTGATTGTTTGTGTTCTTGAATATAAATGTATGTACAGTTTTCTAGTCATGAATAATAGGGATGAATATCAGTTAATTTGAATTTTTAATTATCCTCCTCCCCCCACCCCCTAAACGTTTCATTTTTGTTCCCGGGTTGGCCTACATATGTGTTGAAATTCAAAATTGTTTCTTCAAAAATTATTGAATAACCTCTAAAATCAGTAAGAATGATTTATTTCATTCATTTATTGCAATTAAAAGCCAATTTGCTTAGAAAAAAATCTTGTATTAAAAATTGATTTTTTGTGATTTTTCGGTTTTTTTCTAAAAAAAGTAGTGATTTTAACCACTACCAGTGCCCCTGAAAAAACAAAAAACAAACAGAGAACCTAATTTTTGCTGGAAATACAACAGGTATGATGTCTTGTGCCACAGGTAAAAAATAGGACGCAATATCCCCATCCTAAGATACTGGTTGCTATGATGGTTTGAAATTTCTTAGTACCCCGACTTTAATCTGCGTTTTCTCAGAATCTACTTATGTTGACTTTGAAACTTCAAAATTTCATAACTCAGTCAATTTTTGAGATCCAAGTGACTGATTTTGATTCAATTTTTGAGATCCAAGTGACTGATTTTGAGTCAATTTTTGAGATCCAAGTGACTGATTTTGCTGGCACCGGTCACATATATCAAGACGGATGGACGGGGGCGAAGGCAATATACGTCCACATTTCAATGTGGGCGTATAAAAACTGTACAAAACCTGAGTCACTATTTGTGTCCTGTGTAACATGCGCAACCCTTAAACATTGAGGAATAAAATCAGATTTTTTTTAATTCTCAGAACTTGCATTATATTTTCGTTCTAAAATATGAAAATGTTACATATTTTTCATTGTATGCAGATAAATTTAAGCAAAATTAGTGAAGGTTTATTTTCTAGCAATTATGTCACACTTTTGTGCACAATACCAAAAAGTGACCCATATATATGCGTGAGCACGGTGTATAAATGTTAAATCAATCAGATGATAACTATGGTCTCTAAAGCATCTACAAGACTTTTCAAAGGGATCAAGGGCCATTTAAAATCAACAGGCTTCTTCGTCTGATGAGCTTAAACTCTGTGTATAAATTTAGAGTCAGTCAGATATTAACTTTAGCCTCTAGAGCGTTCCAGGGCCATAACTCTGGCAGTAATTATTTGAAATCGGTGAAAATCATTAGGCTTCTTCATCTCATGGCCTTAAATACTGTGTATAAATTTAAAGTCAACCGGATATTAACTTTAGCATCTAGAGCGTCCACAATCCAGATCGACAGACGGACAGAACGACGACCATATACATGTACAACCACATTTCAATGTGGGCGCATAAAAACAACACGATAATCGTGTCCCGTCAAACCATCGCGTACTAAAACCTACTTTTAAATCTCTATGTATAATAGGTGGTTTCTGTTTATGCATATGTTGTATGGCTCTACATGATTGATGAAACACAAGTAGAACTTGATTACTAGATAGTGCTGACTCCTGTCTGTTTAAATATGACACTAGTTCACCTCCTACAATACATAAATAAAGATAGGTTGACAGGCAACGAAACATACGCCCACAGCAGCTAAATCATCCGACAGTCAACAAGAGTTGTTGCATATTTTTACTTTTTTCGGTAAGGAAAGATTTATAATACACTAAAATCTGATTAAGAGCAACAACTCACGAAGTAATTATCAGAAAAGTATTAGAATTTGGTTTTTATAAAGTTCTGCCCCATGCTAACGTTTTGTATACAAAGCTTTTAATATCATGGATTTAACTGTTCAAGTCATAAAAATTCATTGAAAATCAATATACTTGTTCGTCTCAAGATCTTAAACTCTGTGTATCAATCTGAAGTCAATCGGATGATAACTTTAGCCTTTAGAGTGTCACAAGATTTTGCAAAGTGATCAAGGGCCATAACTTTGGCAGTAATTATCGGAAATCGTTGAAAATCAATAGGAATCTTCGTCTCATGACCTCAAACACTGTGTATAAATTTAAAGTCAATCGGATATCGTAGCAATGATCTCTGTGTTAAAATTATATAAGTTATCTGCCCTTGTGAATGGCTGCACGCTTTGAGAGGTGCTCTGATAAAAATAATTTTTATGCTATCAGAAAACCAATGTAAGCCGATCTAGTCCAGTCTAAGTTATATAAGAAGCTATTGGTAAAATGGGTGACGATATTAGTAGATGGAGAGTCACAATAGGGGAATATTATGGTAGAATTAAACGAAAAAAAGGGGAGTAAACAACACAGAAAAGAAGGAAGCATGGGTAGACTGTATAAACAAGACGCCATTTTGGTGAAATTTTTTCCTCATATTTTGTTGAGCAGTATCAGCCCCACAGCCCTTAAAGTCATGTTTTATGGATCTGCAACCTATCTGGCATTTATTTTCGGCATTCTTCTTCTAAAGGATTGGATTGAACAGAACCCGGGCCCTGAAACGAGAGGACAGGATCAAACAAAATTGCCATTCTCCTCAACAAATTGATTATCAACTATACACTAAGTTTCATCACTCTCTATCAGATAGAATCAAAGTCATCTTGTCCCAAAGCAGGAAATTGCTTATTTCTGCTTAGATTTAGATCGATATGTTAATCATTGAACTCAGTCAAGACGAACATCTACATCAAGTTTAAACATTCTACCTCAATTAGAAGAAGAGTTTGACCAATCAAAATGCTTATTGCTTGTTAGCCTAAGCAGAAAATTCTCATCATCGAACTTAGTCAAGGTATTGATGTAATGAAACTATACACCAAGTTTCATCACTCTCACTTAATTAGAACTAAAGTTATCGTGTTCCAAAGCATCAACCAATCAAATTGCTTATCTCTGCTTACCCTAAGCAGAAAATGCTGATCTTCGCACTCCATCAAGGCATTGACCCCATAAACCCCTACACCAAGTTTGAACATTCTAGCTCAATTAGAAGGATGGTTATTGTGTTCCAAACTCTCGGCCAATCAAATTGCTTATCGCTCTGCTTACCCTGAGCAGAAAATGCTCATCATCAAACTTAGTCAAGGTATTGATGTAATGAAACTATACACCAAGTTTCATCACTCTCACTTAATTGGAACTAAAGTTATCGTGTCCCAAAGCATCAACCAATCAAATTGCTTATCTTTGCTTACTCTAAGCAGAAAATGCTTATCTTCACACTCCATCAAGGCATTGACCTAATAAACACCTACACTAAGTTTTAAAATTCTAGCTCAATTAGAAGGACAGACAGACAGACGGACGAACCCATTTTAATAGTCCCCTGCTTACTTCGAAAGGCGGGGGACAACTAGCAGACGATGTATCTTTTCTACAGACCACAACTAAGAACATGGAAGAGAAAATTGAAAGACTAGAGAAGATTTATAAGCAGAACAATTTGATCTTCTTCAATATAAAGGAGGACAATCCAGAAAGTCCAGATAAATGTGAGGTAAAAATTAGAAATTTTCTCTGTGAAACACTAGAAACTGAAGCCAGTGACGACATGTCTTTTCCGATAGAGAGGGCTTTCCGTATTGGGAAAAAGAGAGACAACAACAATAGGCCAATCTGTGTACAATTTACGCGAACCAAACACCGATTTCAGATCCTTGAGAAATTCAGAAGGTACAAGAGTAGCAACCCAGATCAGTTTTCAGCTGTAAACTATTCCAAACAGGTTGTAATAAAAGAAGATTTTACTCCTAGAACCAGAAAAATCAGATCCAAATTATATCCAATTTTTAAATGTGCTATTGATATTCATGGCGAGTCAGAGAAAACGCTATTAAAACAAGACATTTAGTTATGATATTGAGAATGATTGTGTCTTTTCATTAGATAAAGAGCCACTACCAGGCTGGATGTCAGACTTTTGCAAATAGGGGTGTGGCCAAGGCTCAAGTACATGTGACAATGATGTAAATACGTTTTGTGTTAAAAACATTAACTTTCTTTCATGGAATGTAAATGGGTTAAGAAATAAGATTGATAATTCTCTTGTTTTATTTTTAAGTCAGTTTGAAATAATTAGTTTACTAGAAACCTGGGCAAAGGTGAAAGATGAGTTTGCAGATCTATTATTGGGGTATAAACATTACTCTATTGTTAGAACCGGTAGTAAAGGGCGTGGCTCAGGGGCATGAGTGTTTATATTAAAAATAATGTTTGTCATTTATTCAAGAGAATTTGTCAGAATTATACAAATGGAATTTATTTCATTTCAGAAGCTTTGTTTGACAAGAATGTTGTTTTTTGCTTTGTTTATATACCCCCCAGTTCATCAAAAGTGTATGAGATATTATCTGAATCAGACGGTATAGTAAACCTAGAAAATAATTTAAATGATATATCACTAAGGTATTGTAGTAATTTATACTATGTACTAGTTGGAGACTTTAATGCCCGTGTAGGAGAGGAGCAAGATTTTATAGCAGATAACAGCACAGAATATCTACATGCTGAATTCGACACCAACGATTTTGATGCGAGACGAACGTCTAAGGATAAAGTGATCAACAACTTTGGTAGTTCACTTATATCGCTGTGCAGAACTATGAATATTCACATGTTTAATGGCCGTGCTTTAAGAGATAATGAAGGTGAATTCACTTTTGTCTCTCATGTAGGAAAAAGTGTTAATGACTATGTTTTGGCATCAACAAGAATTTTCGCCAAAGTGTCAAATTTTGAAATCTTAAAAGTAATGACTGCTCTGACCACTTCCCTTTAAACTTTAGCATTAACATAAGAGAAGATGTAATAGAACTAAATTCACAACCAAAGGTAGCTAACAAATGGAATCGACTTAGATGGAACCAAACCAAAGCTGAAGAGTATACAAACTCTATAATGCAACACTGAATGAAAACTTCTATGAAACATTCTTAGAGCTATACACATACATGCCAACCTGAGGAGATTGAA